ATTCCATTCCCCTCTTTCCTTTCCCCTACCCCTCCCACTTCCCCTTCCCCTTTGCCGCTTTTCTTCCTATTTCACATTATCTATTATACCTTTAGTCCTTATTTACACTTTCAGTTTCTCACACCAGGGAAACTATTTGGTACACATGTTCTCTTACAAATTTGTGATCTTATTGCCAAGAGCTTTCAATATTTGCCTGAAACTGTAAATAGTTCCCTAGAAGTGCCTCAAAGACTGGGCAATGCGGTTTCCTGAGTAAGAAGGACTTGAAAACTTCTGTTTTGAAAATGAGCTGAAGCCTAGAAGTACCTTGTTTAGAAAGCGAGCATGGCTGAAGGACCATTGGAGGGATGAACCTTGAAAGAGAGAAAAGCTGCCTAGTAGACTGGCATTTTGAAAGCCTAACTGGGGGCATAAGGCCCCAGGCACTAGCATGTGATAGGTGCAGTCCCAACTGAGGGGAGATATTGGGCCCAGGTATAGGAGCCCAGGTCTCGTACATCCAGTGGAGTCATCAAGATCTGTGCGCAGCCCCAAGCAAATTGTGCTACTATGTCCCAGAGCAACTGTGAGGCTACCCAATCCACTTGAAGACCATTGCAGAGCTTCACTGTGTTTCTAATGCTGTCACTTATCCCTCATGTCCACAGTGGCTCTTCTTAACCTTAGTATCTCAGTTCTTAGGTAGGTTCCCACCAGGCACACAATTTGAAGTAGATCTCATTTATTTTTCTTATCTCCCACTACACTCATTCCTTTAGTATCATTAAAACCTTTTTCTTTTCGGGCACCAAATGGATAGGCACTTTTTACCATAGTGCGATTCATGTCTAGTGCAGTGTGTGGCACACAAACACCTCTAAATGATTGCATATAAAAATACAATCCTAAATATGCAAATTTTCAATCTTAATAATTGACTAGGGTGTCAAGTAAACTGAGTGGGGTAGAATACACTCATCCAAAGGAGAAGCTGGGATTTCTAGGCAGTCAGTGTCTCGTAGGAAAGGACAAAGGTGGTTGCTTCACAATCAAGGCAGAATTTTATTTGGTTGATAAGGAGCTACTTTTCTTCTTTTAAGAACTAAGAAAGTAAAACAGGAGCTAAGATTGTCTAAGAGGAGGCTTCTTGGACTGAGGCTACTAAGATAAGACCAGAACTCCATGATGGAGTAAGTCCCTTAAGCTTGTGCCATGTGGATTGAGTTGACATCTTAGCAGCAAAGTACAAAGAAAGGAAGTAAATGGTAAAGAATTCATCAGGCTCCCTTCTCATTCACATGTAATCCAGCAGCCATCACTACTAGGACATTAAAGATTTATTAAAATGCCTACTTTACTTGTTGCTTGTCTTAGTTACTATTCTCACTGCTGAAACAAAATATCAGACACCCAAAGTTAGGAGGAGAGTTTTATTTAGGTCACTGTTTGTAGAGGTTTCAGTCCATAATTGGTTGGCTGCAAGGCAGGGGAGAAACAGTCCATGGCAGGCACAAGGTAGCAAAAGCAACAAGGGTCCTCAAGGGCTTCTTTCTGCCCCTTTTATCTTATTCAGACTGCTTAGGGTGGTAGCACTCACACCATTAGTCCTAGTGCCCTTGAGCCTATCATTGCACTGTGAATCAATCCCAGCACCACACACTGTAGATCCAGCCACCTCTGAAGAAGTCTCAACTATGACCCCATAAGGCTTTGGAGGGACAGCTAGACACAAGCTACAGCACGGCTTATCTTTATTTTCTACTTTTTTTGCTTTGGAACTTTAAGCAATATCTTCAAAATGTGACGGGGATTGAGGCTGGCTTTAAAGAAGGCCAATGAAAAGATTTAGAAATAGCTTCTCAAAAGGGAATGTCATCGAGGGCTGTGGGAAGCACGGATGGAGAACGAGGGCTGTGCAGCACGCACTGGGAGGCTCCGCGTGAGGCAGAGAAAGCGCACCACTGCCAACCTTGAAATATAAACTCGTAAGGGACCCATTCATCGCAATAAGTTATTTCCTTAAAAAAAGAAGTCCAGTTGATTAAATGCTGGTTGGGAAAGATAAGTGCCAAAAAGAATATTCTGCGAAGCTGGAGCATTTTCATTTGATTGTGCATTTGATATATTTTCATTCATTCTAAGTTTGTGTCACTCAGAACTCAGTCTTGAGATAATAAAAAAACAATTTCCTGTGTTTTCCTGATAGCTATATTAAAGTCCATAATCTTATTTTCTTTCCTTCAATGATTTATTTCCAACTCACTTTTGATAGTTTAAAAGAGTCTGATGTTTGATGACTCATTTTTAGAGTTTGTGGAAGAAAATTTTACATTTTTCTTAATGTTGGCTCTTTTCTGTATCTGACTAACCTGCTTTCTAAATCCACGCAGTGCACCTTCTTATCTCAAGCAATTTGCCAAAGTCCATCACATCTCACAGCTTTTTTGTCTCAAGACTCACTCAGCCCCTGGCTGATAAAGACCCAAATGGTTTCTATTCATTTTCTGGCTGCCCAGCTATCAACCCAGTGCCTCCTGTTCTAGAGGTTGTGGAGGTTTCGTTTATGCTGCTACCACTGCTAAATTCTTCTATTTTACTGCACTTTATAATTGCAGAGGCTGCTTGAATATTCCCTATTTTTCAATCCTTTGAGTCTCTTGGGGAGGGTTAAGAATACCCAGAAAATATTACAAGGTTTACCTGTACATCCTTTTACTTTGAGAAGAGAGGGTCCATTCAGTGAAAACACTCACGTGAGATAAGGTGGGGAACCCCATTCAGCTGAAAGGCTTTCAGCAATTCAGGACATCAGAGGAACCGAACTGTCTATGGGACTTTATATTTAGAGGCATCTTTCCCACTTTTCTGAGTCATTAATAATTGCTCCCTAGAAGGCAAAGGCAATTTCTCTGTCTTGACACACCAGGAGAGTTACCTACTATTTTAGATTTTCAAATGTTCTTTTAGAATATTTGTTAATGCACCACTTGTGACTGTTGAACATTATAGATGATGTTATTTCAAAAGGAGCAAATGACATCTTCCCTGCTCTGTTACGTGAATCATGCCCACTTATGAAAACTCGCATAGTTAGAAAATTAGAAAGCAAAGTGCCAAGGTGATCAGTAGAAGGATTCAAAGCAGAAGGAGATGATTCTATGTGGAATCTTCAGAATCCAAAGTCTTGGTCAAATGAGCTTTGCCTTCTTTACTGCCCAGTGATAGGTATCCTCCAGGCTGGGCTGTAATGGGGATGGTACGAGGGGCAAGACTAGTACCTCTCAGTGTGTGAATTACAGAAATAACACTAGGCCCATAGGCTCACAAGTGTCATTGCAGCAAATAATACACTTTGAGAAAAAATATTTTTACTTGTACAATTTGTATAATTTGATAATATAAAAATGTTAAAATCTTAGAATATTGGAGGTAAAGCAACTAAAAAATCATTTAGCTCAGCTTCCACATTTCTAAGATATATATATATATATATAAAAGAGTGGATATTCAGATGAAATGATTAGTTTCAAGTTCCTTAGTCAGTTTGGGCCAGATTGAACACTTAATACAAAGTGTCTGAAAGCCTACTTTCATGTTATTTTGTGTTTAATTCAATATGTTTTTGAATGTTTGTCATAGCATAAGGAAATTTCTCATCACAGAACTCCTGATACATCATGATGTTTCCTTTCCCATATCTGCAATGTAAAGAATGGGAGAGCTGGGGGCGCAGGGGAGGATGTGAGTTTGAGTATGAGGAAGAAATGCCAGAAATGAAGAAGATAAACAGCAAGTCCCACTCTGATGCTGATGATAGGACCACTGGGGTGTTTGGGGTTTGGTTTTGCTTTTGTTCTTTGCTTTTCTTTGCATGATTTTTTCTCCTCCCTCTCTGCCTCCCTCCCTTCTTTCCATCTTTCTCTTCCTTCCTTCCTCTCTTCTTCCCTCCCTTCCTTCTTCCTACTTTCCTTCCTGTGCTAGGATCAAACCCAGGGTCTTCCACATGCTAGGCAAGCCCTCTACTACTGAGTCACACCCTCAGCCCATAGCACTGGCTTTTCCAGAGTCTGTACACATGTTTGGTGTAAGAGGTTCCTCTAACTTTCTCCTACATCATAAGGAATTAATTCAGATAACTGCTTAAGAGAAAAGAGTGTTCATGGTTCACTGTCACTTCTTTGTGTAAAATAAAGTTTACAAGACAAGACTATATGTGTAGTCTCTACATTTGTAATTGCCTATTAGAAACTTCAGAATAAACCACTTGTGTCTTTGGGTTTTGTTGTTGGTACTGCCAGTAAAATACTTTCAGATGTGTTGAGTACGAAAAATAAAAAAATCTCACAGTTAAGTACCAACACAATCTGTATCATCTGGGGTTTTCCCCCATGTGGTATAATGTATTCTTACCTCTGTCATTTCAAAGTTTCCAGCAGAATACTGACTGGTGCGGTGTTGTGTAATATACCTGAAACACTCACTGATAATCCAAGTTGATTAGTTTGATGGATACATGCAAAACACCTCCTCTCAGCCCCAAATGCCATCTGCATCTTAGGAGGGAAAGGATATAAATGATGGAGACTGTGATCTTATGCTTAAAAATTGCTTTGTAAAGAAAACAAATCTTTTTGGAGCCTGAAGTGACAGTTTGCACAAAATTTCATTTTTTGAAAATACAGTCTGTGCAAGGCGGCACTAAATATGAGAAAACAATGCTTCTGATACAGAAAAAGATGGTTTATTCTACCTATCATTTAATGCTTTTTTTAGATCAACTATGAAAAAAGTTTCATGTATAAAGACAGTTCTGAGGATCAATGGATATGTAAAGGAACACTGTGAAGTTTATTGACTTGAAATGTCTCAGGAGACTGTGTGACTTACAGGAAAGATATGAGAAAGTTGCAGTAAGGTTATGATTTCAAATGTTAACTTACTTATATTTCTTCCTCTCACTTTTTTTTTTATTTTTTTTCTTCCTAGATTTCTTCAAGCTGAATCCTCTGATTTTGCTTTGCTTCTTCTTTTTCTACAATCCTATGTTTGGAAGGCAGTGCCAACACGAGTAAGGTATCTCTATCCCATTCCTGTTTTTACAATTTCATGTTTCGATTTATATAAAAAATATTAAAAACTCTTGAAATTCATTACTGAAAACAGTCAAATAAAAATTTTAAAAATATTTAAATAAACACTTCATAAAGAAGATAGATCAATGGCCCATAAACACATAGGAAGGTGCTTAGCGTCATTAGTTAACAGGGAAATTTGAATTTTTCAGAAACATGATATAGTTGATGCTCTCTATCAATTGGTTTCATATCTGCAGATTCAACCAACTGTAGATGGAAAATATTCAGAAACACAATGGCATTTGTACTGAATATGTATATACGTTTTTTTCTTGTTATTTTCCCTTAAATAATACAGCATAACAACGATTTACACAGCATTTTGTATGGATTCAGCTTGACATTACTGCAGCTTTCTGAGTCTGAACTTTTATGATTGTCTGAGAGTAAACCTATTGGTTTTTTCCTGCATACTATATATAGTTTCCTAGAATATTATGAATAGACAAAATCTTGGAGAGAATGTGTAACTTCACAACCAGACTATGACACCAGGAAAGCCTTGACTCTTTGATATTAGCTTAAAATAAACCAGTTAAATTCTGTACAGGATAAAGTCACTTTTGTCTTGTCCGATAAATAGGCCTTTACTTTTGACCCAAATCATGAGAATCCACTTGACTTTGCTGCCACCAAAGAATAGCTTCCATCAGGAAGTCCCGAACACATTGCACTCCGTGTGATACTGGATCTGCCTCGCCCTCTTCTCTTTGGTCTCCTGATACCTCGGGACTAGGTCTCATAAACTGGGGCTGGGTCATTCTAAACACACAGCAGTGTAAGTGATATAGAGCTGATTAAAGTATATGGGACATGTGTGTAGGTTATGTGCAATACTGCACCACTTCAAAAACTGACTTGGCATCTCCATGTGTGAATGGGTGAGGTTCTGGAACCATCTGTCCCCATACACTGAGCTAGGACTGAACTACTGCACACCCACTAGAGCGGCTACAGTGGGTAAAAGGACTATTAATGAAAAGTGTTGATGAGGATAGGGAACAACTATCTTGAACTCATACATTCTAGTGGGAATACGTGCAGCAAAATAAGTCACTCCTATTGACCTGCTTTCTTATTGTGGGTGGGTGTGTGCCTTTGTTCTTAATAAAAATCAAGTACATGACCACATCCACATTAGAAATAAAAATCCTTTGAAAACATGTCTAGACCCAGTCATGGGAAAAGAGGCTCACTGAGAACTGAAAAAACTGATTGTGATCTAGGGTATTTCTCTAAATTTCCCAACGGCAAATATAAAATAATCACAGCACTCCGAAGCAAATTTCAATGAATTTGTAAAAAATGGCCTTTCCTGTATGAGGAGAAGACTTCACGTTTGGGGCATGAGTATGGGAATCTTGAAAAAATCAAGTAAATTTATTTCTACCTTAGTTCCAAGTGTTTTGTGATGTAGATTGATAATTGGATAGCTCAGTAGTATTGCACACAGTGTTACCAGTTTCTCTGGTCTTCACAATGACTTAAATAGATCAGGGAAGTAAGTCACTCCCTTTTCTAGTCCCTTTTTCAGGTTATTTCTTCCTGTTTAAACTTTTATAGAAATACACTTTTAGTACTGACAACGTACTCTTTTTTTTTTTTTTTTTTGATACCAGGGATCGAACTTGGGACCTTGTGCATGCAAGGCAGGCGGCAGAACCACTGAGCTAAATCCCTGGCCCCTGATATACACTTTTAGAACAAAGATGGGAAATTGGAGAGACAGTTCTGTTAGCACTTGGAGTCATTTTCCAATCCTTGCCGTATATTCTCATTCTTGTATTTTTGATATCTCTTTGGAATATTTTAAAAAATTTCTTCAATGAAATTTTTATATTCATAATTAAGCATATTCATAATGTTAAATTTTTTGCTTGTAATTAAACTTAGTAAACAACTGTCAATATTATGAAAAACAGAAATTGTCCCAAACTGGAGGGTGCTGAGGAGACATGAGGATGAAATAAATATGTTTGTATGGGTTGCCAATATTTGTTATTAGCTCTAACAAATGTACCATGGTAACATAAAATATTAACACTGGGGAAACTAAAATGGGCATATAAGAATAATCTGTATCTTTACAAATTTTATGTCAAATAAAGTTATTCTAAAAACTTTAAAAGTCTATATAAATATCAATTTGGTCAAAGTTTTACTTTCTTATTATGATTATCCCCCAAATTAGGGAAAATATAAAGTGGTATCATGAATAGAGAAGATAAAAGTGACAATCCTATTCTGGAAAGAAATATGGAGAGCAGTGAGCAGGAACACCCTTTATATCTTATTTTATATTTTGCTGCCTTTCCACATCAGACAAGACACTGATGGGTTAAGGGCTTGATAGGTTAAATGATGTGGCTTATAATTTATTTATAACATAAATTACAACAGGAGAAGGAAATCATTGTAAACAAAAAATTGGTGTTTAACCCTACACCCTTTCAGATCCTCAGAATCTAAGCAACCTGACGTAGTTCATTGTTTTTGCTGTTTTAATGCAATGTAAATAAAATACTTGCATCCAAGATATTTCTGTATCACTCAAAGAGCACTGAACTTCCAAAATTTAGGTGGGGTTACAGCTCTTGTTTTCATGAAATTAGATAAACTTCTCAAGATAAACTTCTGCAAATATAACGACTCTATTCCCCAAACCCTTTTTAAAAAGACATCTAACTTTTCTTAGAGGATAGAATTTGAATTTCATTGCTAGCAGATTTCTGTGTGTGTGAGCTGTACTGGGGATTTAACCAGAGCCTCCTGCTGAGCAAGTTACATCCTCACCCCAGAAAATAGCTTTTATGAGCTTTAGACTCCTGGGGAACTTCCCAAGTAATGTTAAGTTCTGTGGAGGAAAGGAGAATAAAATAATATGCCATTGCCATGAAAAATCTCCATGTATTTTGCTTCCTTGAAGTTACATGGCAACTCTTGTCATCCTTAGGCCACAAAACATTGTTTATTACCAATACCCTGGATATGAATTTTTAATATATCTTTGGGGACTGTTAAGACCTAAAGTAAAACTGAAGTCTATTTGAAAAGTGTGATTCATGACACTCACTCCTTGGGAATCATGGGAACAGATGTTCTCAATACCACCCACAATGGCTGTGTCAACTCCAAAGAGAAGCAAAGAACTGAGGCAGCATTCCAGATAGAGCTGATCACAAAGCTACTCGAGCCTCAATTGTTTTGATGTCATATGGGGCCTCCACCTTTCATATGTTCCTCTTGGCAAGTCAGATACTTCTAGGGAATTTTGGTAGAGAAAAGGCAGGGACATAAGCAAATTCATGGTCATAGATATGGTTCAGATATTTAACTTGAAACAGTTTTAAAAGTTAATTAAAAACTTTGCTAATAGGGTTTCTCATTTAAGCTAGGCAGCTACATTAGAAAAAGCTTCATTAGGAAAGGGAAACAAAAAGGCAAAAATCTAGTGAAGAATTTATAGATTCTCAGGTTGGAAAGTCTCATTTATAAGCAGGGCACAATAGGTCCTATTTCCTGGAATGTTTCTGGTAGGCCCTATGTCAGCATCATTATTAGCTGTCTCCATTATCCTACTTAACTCTCTAATGTTTCTTGTTTTAAATCAAATGACCATTTCTTTAAAGCAGATTGAGTCCACACCAATTTAATTTGTTCTCCCAATATGATTGTATGAAGTACAGAAAAACAAAGCAGATCTGGAAAATTAATGTGTGTGACTACACATACATCAATCAAAAGAATATCATTAATCAAGAGTCAAATTTTTTATCCTGCATATGTGTGTATTTACATCTAAATATGTATATGTCTTTTTCTTTTTCTTTTTTTATGAAAATATAACTCGAGATTTTAATTGAAAAGTATACTTCTCTAACAGTGCTATTAATTGGAAAATGAGGCAAGAAATAAGGCAGATGAGACACTTAAATATCAGTTACATTATCAATAAAGGGAAGTTGTAGGATATAGCTTAGTGTAAAAAGCAAGTGAGTTTCCTAATACTGGACCCCAGGACTGGGCAGCTCTAAGCAGTCACAGATTCTAGACTAGGGTAGTGGTCTATTATAAGCCTGACCGTGAAGGTACGATAAGTGCTATTTACAGAGAATTCCTACTGCTTTCTGGAAAATAAGTGAAGTGTGGGGATGCAGAGAGATGGCAGTCATAAAGATCAGGGGTCAGAGCTACACTCAGAATCAGAGATGGAGTGGAAGGAAATGTTTTCACAATGCTGCAACCCACATTGTACCTCTCTACTTGACAGGTCTGGGCCAGCAAGATTACTAGCGTGAGAATCAGAACTAAGTGTCCATTCTGTCACCCCTAGATAGGCCCAGAAAAGAGGAGGAGTTGAACCTAGCACATCCAGTTGATTCTTTTCAAACTTACTAGTCTCATACAGGTTGAGGGGAGGGTCATGCTTGTGTTATTGCTGGAGTACCATGAAAGGAGTCACTGGGATTGGAGTTTTCTTTTTGCTTCAAATAAAACTTTAATTATTGCAGAGAAGAGAGAGAATATAGAAAGTATTTAGTGATTTATTTCTCATGATATAGAAAAGCAACATTTTTTAGATATGAAGTTCAGTTTCCAGAGAGAGTAGATGAATTTCCTGGCATTATTGTGGAGGTAGTGTCCCTTAGAAACTGCTCTCTGAAATGCAGGTTTAGCTTCCCTTTCTAACTCTTAATCCCCCTAAATTTCTTCACAAGGAAAAATTAAACCTTTTTCCTGAGCCTTCTCCTCCATTTTGACACAATTATCATAATGACGCTAACAGCTGACCTTATTTGAGTGGGTTACCTGCATTGGCATTGTGTTGTGCATGAACTGTTTAATGTGTGTGCTTGCTGAGCCAGTGCTGTGCCTGAAGAAATTTTATTTTGCAGATTGATTTTTCACATCACTCACATCACGTTTTTGGAACCAACT